AACGATTATATTAGTTAAGTGTTGTAAAAACAATAAAATATGTTACCGATTCATCTATTATATTTACAAATTGTTCAATCTCAAATCGAAAATAAACATGAAACTATACATTCTATTTCCTTGTCTAATCAACAGAATTGATTATAAGCCTTTTTTTGTCATTTGATGGAAGTATCAATGAAACTTTTGATCCTATCGAGGACATATCGACTGGTTCATGATCATGAACCGGTCATTTCTTATAATAGTTCACTATATTCAAATATGTCATCAGCCTATTTTAAACTGTCTTGAAATAATGTTTCTTTTGACATAGAAATACAGTCACAGTTCAGACATTTGAAATCCATGGAATTCAAAAGAATCAAGTGGCACTCAGTGTGTGGAACACCTACATCAGGATTGTATGTATTAATCGTTGCAACTCTTTTAGCAGAGGTTGTGTCTAAGTCTTCTGAGCCAACCTCATCGAAGAATGCCTGAAAGGACAGGGGCGCATGAGAAGCCGATTTGGCCCATTTGATAATTTTAGTCACCTTATTGCTCATCCTATTCAGAAAAATGTGATGATTCTTTTGGTAATAAATTCGAGTCAGGCTATGAAGATTATAAGACATTTTGAGGGAGAATATCTACAAAAAAAGTATTGAAGTCTCATTGGGCTCATAGTTGTCTAGTATTAGCTCAAAATATACAACTTTTAGGCAATGTTTCAAACTCAATCCATATTGGTTAGAAAGAGCGTTTAATACTGCATCGTTTCATATAAAAACTACTATTCTTTCATTAAAAATGTAATCATGGAAAATAATATCCTTTCATAGGGGTATTATTCAGTACCTCACATCCCAACAATAATTAAAACTGTTTGACATATTTTTAGGTGTAAGCCAAGTTCTTTTATATACCAATCGATAGAGCAAAAAAAGAGCTACAAAATGATACATAATTAATTTGATTTCAACATGGGTCACTATATCGAACGTGTGTATGAATTATTCTGGAGCATAAAAAGTGCACTTTTCTGCTCATTATTGAGCGAATTTTATAAGAATAATTCGGCTTTTGATAGAAGAAAACGACATATTTGAAATCAGGATAAAAATCTGAGCCAATCCATATAGTTTTGAAAATTTTCTGAATACTTTTATTTCCCTCCAAAAATTCAGCTGGGGTTCCCCTCAGGGTTAGGTCAAAAAATGAAATCGATTGAAACGCCATTCAAACTGTGAAAAACAAGTTCTGCAGTCCTCAAAAGTTAGGAAAATTAAAAAACACAAACGACTAATAAATAAAAACCACTGTTTTAATGAATTATATTTTTTGACGTAATCCTGTGAGGGACCCAGCTGAATTTTTGGACGAAAATAAAAGTATTCAGAAAATTTTCAAAACTACATGGATTGACTCAGATTTTTATCCTGATTTCAAATATGTCGTTTTCTTCTATCAAAAGCCGAATTATTCTTATAAAATTCGCTCACTAATGAGCAGAAAAGTGTACTTTTTATGCTCCAGAATAATTCATGCACACTTTCGATATAGTGGCCCATGTTGAAATCAACTTAATTATGTATCATTTTGTAGTTCTTTTTTTGCTCTATCGATTGGTATATAAAAGAACTTGGCTTACACCTAAAAATATGTCAAACAATTCTAATAATTTTTTCGGATGTGAGGTACTGAATAATACCCCTGTGAAAGGATATTATTTTCCATGATTACATTTTTAATGAAAGAATAGTAGTTTTTATATGAAACGATGCAGTATTAAACGCTCTTTCTAACCAATATGAATTGAGTTTGAAACATTGCCTAAAAGTTGTATATTTTGAGCTAATACTAGACAACTATGAGCCCAATGAGACTTCAATACTTTTTTTGTAGATATTCTCCCTCAAAATGTCTTATAATCCTCACAGCTTGACTTGAATTTATTACCAAAAGAGTTATCACATTTTTCTGAATAGAATGAGCAATAAAGTGACTGAAAATATCAAATGGGCCAAATCGACTTCTTATGCGCCCCTGTCCTTTGACGTCAATTTCTGGATGAGGAATATTGTTGCTCTCGTCTATCCTCTTATTAATATTTCTAAATTTTATATCAATTAAGTGTTTATTAATGGGATGCCATCAATAATCTATATATGTATATCAAATGATTACGTGTGACAATTGTTTTCAAAAATTATCAAATCTGTACCACCAATTTCATTGGGAGTTCATTATTTTGATTGATAAAATTCGAATATTTTTCGAAGAATAAAATTTATATGACAATCAATTATTAATTTATCGATAATTTAAATTTTCAAAATTCTTAAAATATAAAAATTTCTTTAAAAAAAATAGAAAATAAATGAAGTTAAGTACCACCTTTTTATTGAAAGAAAAACAAAAATATTGATAGACATATTCATCAGTCAATTCATTAATTCTATTTAATCGACTTCTAAAACTTCTCCCTCAATTGAACACTCATATACATGCATCTAATGACCTTCTAATTATAACACATTGACATTTTATTTCAATAAAAGAAACAATTGTTTGACAAAACACAACGACTTATATGTTAATGATTGAATCTTGTAAAAAAAAAAAAAAAAAAAAAAGAAGACATATTCATGAATTTGTTCATTTTTCTTAATGAATTTTTTTTTCTCATTTAATAATGTACAAGAAATGATGATGACGATGGATAGCGTGATGACCGCTAGCAGGCACATATACATAAAAATGATGGACATGTCATCTAGATTGGGTAGGTGGAGAGGAAAAATGAAACCTGTCAAGAAACAATTGTTAAGAATAGATATATTTATATTTGAAAGTTTGTCAAAAACGATTATATAATAAAATTTCACTGATAGGAAATAATTTTTTCCACTTTTATGATTAAGAATTCATTATTAAACTATCTCAATCTTATTCATATTTGTTAATTTCTAATGATTCGTATGATTTAATGTTCAATAGTACAGAAATTTTCTCTCGCTCTTTTTTTTTTCTTACTCATCATCTGATACTTCTTCGTGGTCTTCTTCTTTTTTTTTTTTATTTTACTTCCCTAAAGAAATCAACAGACATAATTTTGATTTGATCAATGAATATATATGAAAGTTAGTACATAAATTTCATACACACGCATTTGAATTACGATTAACGACGCATTATTAAATCTAACTTCTTTTGAAAATATTCAATTGATTCTATCAATATAAGATATAATTGACAACCATGACATAGGTAAAAAATAGATCCTATACGAAGCTTTGATGAGAAAAAGAACAAACACTTCTGTTTTGATGAATGATTTGATTCTACTCTACAAAGAAAAAAAAAACAAGACAATTGTTGTTGAAACAATTGATCTTCTTTTTTTTTTCTCTCCTCTTGAAAGTAAAAGTATGTGTATATACTAGCAAAAATAAAAATTTAATTGGCAACTAAAGACAAAATAGATAAGAATAACAATTGCATTTTTATAAAAGAATAACTAACATATACATAGAGCTAATTATAAATAACCTGCATATTGCGTAAGTTATATCGAAAAAAAAAAAAAGGATAGGTCAAGGAATTATATATTGATGCTAGACAAGTTACGAAGATAGAGCTTTTCACTAACTGTTTCCTATAAAAAGAACGAAAGAGAGTAACTTCCGACGTCTATATATATATATATGATCGATCCCCAAGGCAATAGTCAGTTGTTTAAATGTAACATTCTCAACAGCGCGAGTATATAATAGTGTGTGATGTCGAAAAAAAAAATTAATGTCCGTTTAGTTTGTCAAGAGGATAGGCCATTTCTTGTATCATAAAGGAAATATTCTTCTAAAGCTCTCAATGGAATGTTTTATTTATGTTATATTTTCTTTTTTATTTTATTTGAAATGTATACTGGTGAAATTATGTATAAGTATAACTAGACTGATAAGTTGATTATTGTCTCTTCAATGTTATCAAGTATGTGTTTGTATGGCACTTTCTATATATTAGGAATCTAGAATGACAAAAAAGGTCGTGTCATGAATAGTTGTAGAACTGTAGAATTGACACATAGTGTTTGCCTAATAAACTTGTATTTATATAAGACGATGATAAAAAGAAAATAGATATGAGAAGATTCTTTATTTTTTTTATGACATGCTGTGATAATATCTTTCAAGTGCATTGACCGAATTAAAGAATAGCAGACATTACCTACTGAGTTTCTCGTTTTCTTTATAAAAGAAACAATCATTATTGAAGTTAACATTCATTTATTCATTAAAATTTTCTTGTTTTTTTTTTTTTTGGTTAAGTTCAAAAACAAAAAGAAATCACTGTTTTTCAAATTTTTAGTGGTGTATGTTCATATAGATTTACAATATATTCTATTCTCTTATATATCAATAAGACAGACGAGAAAGAAAGGGAGAGAGAGAGAGAGAGAAAAAGGGAGCAAGAGAAAGAAATGATGATGAACACACTCGACAAGAAAGAAAGAAGATGTGCATTATTATTACGACCATGATTCTTTATCGTTGTACAGTAGACAGACGACGTTGGATTATCGAATTATAGTGAAGAAATATACAAAAACGAGGTAAGTCTATGATTATAAACAAACAAAAAATTTTGCCTTAAGATCTTTATTATAAATAAAATTGATGTTAAAGTATTTTCCATCTTAATATACAACATACATATATATATATATATAGAAATGTATATAAGAATCCAATAAGCATGAAGGACTAAATTACAACACTTTTCATATTATCTTAGAGCGAGAAAATTGTTTTTAGAATAAACTATGAATAAATTTCTTTCCACCTGTATGCTTCGATGATTTTGTTGATAATAAAGAAACCTTGTCAAGTGAGTATATGCATGGTCAGTAGGAATTGGATAGAATATAATTGTATGCTTATAAAGAAGAAAGATAGAAGGAAACAGACTCGATCCATCTTCATTATGAGCATGTCTGACCATTGTCTGTTTTAGAAATGCCACTAAATCTATTCATAAAATTGTTTATATTCTTTACAATTTTATGTAAGTATTTATAATGAATATTCATATACTAACATATAATAATTGCTTTCTTTAGGCTTATCGAATAGTCAGTATCAATATTTTCAAGTTCAACCTCATGATATATCTGCTTTAATTGGTTCTAATATTACTATTCCATGTGTAATTACTTCACCTCATGGTGACGTTCAATGGACTAAAGATGGTCTTGCATTGGGTGAGTGTACACATGCACACTAATCGACATTAACAATGTTTGAAACAAATACAGTATATATATATATATATATATATGATAAGCATCCATTACCTTGCTCATCTTTAAACTATTCGTTGAGCAACTGAACTCTTTACGATTGATCCTTAGTGCGCAAGACCTCCTTTTTTTTTTCGCTAGACAATGGGTGGAGTCTATCAATGAACATGAAGAGCAATTATCTATTGTTATCATCATAGGAATAAAAGCGTTGATTGACATTTATACTTTATCTTCCGATAGGATACTATGAACATAAATTATGTTCGAACATAAGAAAAGATTGACCTTTTGTTTTTGTTTTTTATGTTATATTCTTTGTTCCCGTTAGGTTATGATCGACAATTGGCAGCGTTTCCTTCGTGGTCGATAATTGGAGATGAAAATCGTGGAGAATTTAATTTTTTTATTGAATCATTAAAATTTGAAGATGAAGGAATATATGCTTGTGAAGTTTCACCTTATAATAATGCACCAGCACTTAAACAAGTTGCTAATATAAAAACTCTTGTACGACCAGAACATGTAAAAATCATTAATAATCAATCTTTATCAAATGAAACAACAATTATACGGATGAGATTTGATGAAAAAACTCATCGAATTAATTGTCGAGTTGATGGTGCTAGACCAGCAGCTCATATTAAATGGATCAATGAAACTGGCCATGAATTTTCAGCTATATCACGAACATTTATTAAAGGTAAATTAATCTCAAATATTTTTCATAGGATTTAATTGTATTAACAAATTATAATCTTTTCTCTTTATACATTCTTTATTTCATTATATACATGACCTTATAAAAATAATGTTGTATATTATGTTATTGTTTTTTTTTTTTTTCCATAGATAATCTTTTTTCAACAATGAGTACACTTACTCTTATTCCATCATTATTACTTCATAAAAAACGTTTTATGTGTGATGTTCGTCATGAAACATTAATTAATCATACAAATATACTTCGTAGTGTATTTGAAATTGAAATAACTTCACCACCAGATATTCCTATTATTCATGGTTATTCATCAACATTTCGTTTAATAAATGATTCATCTTTAACTTTATCATGTCAATCTTATGGTGGTCATCCATTAGGTAAACTTTCATGGTATAGATTAGACAATGAAAGTTTTCATTTAATTGATAATTCATCAATTATATTTCATGAAGAAAATATTATTGAAAATAATATAACAATTATTATTAAACCTTCAGATAATAATGCTATACTTTCATGTCATGTTACTAATGATTATCTTGATTCATTAGGACAAACATTACAAACAAATATTACTTTACAAGTTGCTTGTAAATAATTTGAATAAACTTAAACATTGAAATTTTTATTTTTATTTTTTAATAGTTGGTCCAACATCTGTACATATTCTTGATAATAATATCAATGTAACAACATTAATTGAAGGAACTCCACAACGATTTCGATGTCGAACTTCATCATCAAATCCACGATCAATTATTGTTTGGAAAGTTGATAATCAAATTTTACCTGCTGATATTGATCCATTAGAAGAACAAGGTGAATTTTATGGTAAAATAATTCAATCAACAAAAACAATCGGCTTAGATAAACCATTAATATATTATCATGAAAAATTACTTTCATGTGAAGCAACAAATCCTGATACAGGTCATACTGTTACTGATTCAATAAAATTAAATATTATTTGTTAGTATTTCTCATGTGTTATTTTCTAATATTTTTTATTAAATTAAATTTTTAGATGATGCAATAAGTATTGATATGTATGGATTAACAAAAGATAAAATAATTAAAGCAGGTGATACAATTACTGCTGAATGTATTCTTACTGGAGGAAATCCATTAGGAAAAGTTGTTTGGTATAAAGGTATTAAACAAAAACGAAAATTTTTTTTGCAGTATTTATATATAATATATTTCTTTTTTTTTGTTGTTGAGGTGATGAATTACTTCATTCTGAATATTTGATTGAAACAAATGAAAAATATGTTTCAAGTCGTGTAGAATTTATTGCATCACCATTAGATAATAATCTTTTATTAACATGTAAAGGACAAGTAGAAAAATTTCCTGAACATATTGTTTCATTTCAACTTAATGTTACATGTAAGTAATTAAAATAAAAAAAAGGATTATAACTATAAATAATTTTTCATATAAAATAGTTCCTCCTGAGGAAATAATAATTATTGGAAATGAATTTTTTTCAAATTTATCAATGAATAATGATACATATAATGAATTTGAATGTCGTACTTCAATTTCAAATCCTCAAACACAATTAACAATAATTCGACAATCAAATGATGGACAAAAACATTTCGATATTCGATATAAAACATCAGATACTTATATCAATGGAATTAATTCAATTAAATTCATGGTTTGCTTCTTTTTAATGATAAATCTTTTCTTAAATAATTCTTTTTACATATAGTTACCTCAAATTGATCTTTCTCTTCATGAAAATCTTCTAACATGTCAAGCAATATCAAATATTGATACTTCATTACTTACAAAACAAGTTACATATGTACTTTATGTTAATCGTAAGTTGTTTAGTTTTTAATATTTTATATCTAAAAGTTTTTTCTTTTAGATAAACCATATTTTCAGAATTTTAATAGATCTATTGAAGTTAAAGAAAATCAATCATTTAATATAACACTTGAAGCGAAGGCTTATCCAATGCCAATAAGCTACACATGGTTTCATCCAACGGGTAGACAATTAATGAATGATCAATTAAATATATTTGTTAATCAAGGACAATTATCATTGATAAATATTCATAGAAATGATTTAGGAATTTATCGATGTATAGCAACAAATTCTATTGGTTATACAGAAGTTAATTTTACATTAAATGTTCTTTGTACGTTAAATATACTGAATGAATCATAAATAGCACTACGATAAAAGGAAAAAAGCTATTAGCACAATCCCTATAGAGTTAAAATGTAAAACACGATGCAGCTGTTATTACTAATCACAGGAAGAGTGTTTTATTCTATCTATATTTTTCGACACATTTCTTCGTCATTCTCTTACTTATTACTCGAAAAATGCAATTAGGAAGTAGTTCATGTACGACCTGTCACCCAGGGGAAGTATTACTAAGGCGTCTGTCATGGTCCCTGAAGGTCTCTGACTAGCGTCTGTTACGAGTTGTGAAGGTCTCTGTCTAGCGCCTGTTGTGGTCAGTAATGGTCTCTAACTAGTGTCTGTCACGGTATTTTGTGATAGTGGGAGAGAGGCTAACTATTTACTTTTATAATCCTTCTAGATCATGTCTCACAAAAGATGAAATATCTCCACTTCGATTCAATCGAACGAGCTGAGTTTTTCGTTAGTGGTAGAAGGTTTTTTTTTTTTTTTTTTTCATACGGATAAGATAAGCAAATACTATCATTAAGTATTATTGTTGATATTATAAAAGCAATTTTACTTCTTATCAAATAAAGGAAATTCACGTATAGAATTTTATAAATAAGTTTCAGTTGTCATCAAAAAGAATAACAGAACTATGTAGTTAGTTTAGAAATTAACAGTCAGAAAATGTCGAAGTTAGTGTTTAAAGATCTGGAATTGTATGTTTTATTTATGGAAGACGAATTTCAGCATTTAAATTGATTAGTAATGAAAACTTACTCGATGTACATTAATATAATTCGTTTTGATTTCTTATTATTCTCTTGAATGACAATTGAAAATTATCTATAAGACATTTCATCAGTATTTTTTCTTATTTGACAATATGTTAAATTTCTTTAATGAAGCTAAGAATGTCACTTGACAGTAATATTTATTTACATTATCCGAATGAAAAAGAAAAGCTCTAAATTTATTTTATTTAAAACTTAATTTTTCTCTTGAATATAATAGATGGACCTGTTATTACACGAACTCAAGGATATTCTATATCAGAAGCTTTAATGCCTGGTTCATCAGCAATACTTATATGTGTTATTGATGGTAATCCAATTGATTTAAATAAAGTACGATGGTTTAAAAATAATCAAGAATTATCTTTTGATCAATGGGAAAAAAGAATTGAAGGAAATGATGCATCATTAATACGAAAATCAATTAATCGAGAAGATGCAGGACAATATGCATGTGAAATAGATAATCAATTTGGAAATAGTCATGCAACATTACCATTAATTGTTCAATGTAAATTTTGATTGTTTTTTTTTGTTAATTAAAATTAAATTGATTGTTTTATTTATGAATATATTTTAGATGCACCAGAAATCGATCGAAGTGTTCCAGGTCGAGATAAAGCAGCAACTGATTCTGATCGTTTACTTACAGCAGAACTTCATTGTTATGTATCTGCTATACCAAAACCAACAGTCATATGGATGAAGGTTTGTTAAAGTTTTAGGAAGAAAAGATCTCATCTTCAGAGTTCAGAGTGTCTTTTGTATTCATATTCTAATTATCACGTTTCTTTTGTTTATATCACTATTATTAAACGAGATGATAATTTGCCGTTTGAAACATTGTCCTAAGTACGCGAAGCTTATAAAGATATAATTAAATAGAGATCATTTTTTATTTACATATAAATTAATTGTTGTTGAGGTTCAGAAATGATGAGACGCCTTTTATGATGGGTTCAGTTTTTTTTTGAAGCTCTATAAAATGATACTATTGCTTTCAGCTGAATTTATGGCCAAAATACTTTAATCAAACTCATATGTTACCCTTTTTAGCTTCAGAATAATCAGGATTCTTATCAAGATAAATGATATATTTGGAATCAACGCAAAATTCTGCGACAACTTTTATTTTCGACAAAAAAATTCAGCCCTAGTCCCCATCAGGAATATGTCAGTTCTAAATTTTTAAGAATCTAGAAAAATTCAAAATGGCAGTTGAATAACTAATAAAAACAATATGTTGACTGATATTATTTTTCAACGTATCCTGGAAGAGAATCAGTTTTTGACATATATAAGTTGACTCAGATTTTTATGTTGATTCCAAATATATAATTTATCTTGATAGGAAGCCTGATAATTCTCAAGCTAAAAAGAAAAAAAACGTATACCTTTGACTAAAGTGTGTTTACCCACAAATTAAGTTCAATGCAATAATATCATTGAATGATAAATAATTCAAATTGATACAGTCAATGATAAGAGGGAAAACTTTCGTCAAAACATTGCATAGCATGAATTTATACAGTATAGATAATATTAAGTTTTGAGTTAGTCGCGCACAGCGAGAATGAGATCTAACTGTCTAATTCAAACAGTAATTAACTTTTGACATATAAATTGCCTAATGTTGAAATAATAAACTCAATTTGAGAAGAGAATTAATTTCATCGCTTAACAACATCATTCCTTTCAATTTGAAAAATACATCAATAAATAACACAAATCGTTTCTCTAGCGATCGTTTATCCTTGTAAAACAACTGTGATTTATCATTTCACGTATTTTGTATTAGTATAATGAGGCCAAAGAACATATGTTAATTCTATAGTTTAGCTCTAAATGGGCTGTACTGACAAGTTTTTTTCTTCAGTCTTTTTTATATCATTCTGTTTTCCTATTGAGTATTATCATAAACAAATAATTGAGTATGTTATTTTCTAGGATAATAAACTATTACCATCATCATCACGATATCAATCAATACTTAATGAACAAATTCCTTCATCTTCATTTTCATCTAATCTTTTATTCGAAGCTATTCTCTATGTTTATAATGTAACTAAATCCGATTATGGTATATATCAATGTAAAGTCGAAAATAAATTAGGTATTGATATGACACAAATAATTTTAACTGGACTTAGTAAGTTATTATTATAATTAGTTTTATTTTTTTATTGTATTTGTTTTTATTTAGCTATACCTGATTCTCCTAGTCAAATTCATATAACAAATACATCACATTCATCAGTATTAATAAGTTGGACACCAGGTTTTGATGGTGGTTTTCAACAAACATTTCAAATACGTTATCGTCTTTCAACAGATAATTATTATGTATATGAAAATGTACCAATTCATATGGAATCATATGATTTAAAAAATTTAAAATTAGGAAGTCAATATTATATAAGTATTCGTTCAAATAATTCTTATCATTTAAGTAAATGGACAGATGAAATAATAATATCAACATCAAATTATTTACCATCATTAAAATTTCATTTATCAGAAATATCATCAACAAATATTTCATTTACACTTCTTATTCTTATAGCTGTTATTGGTTTAATTATTCTTTTAATTAATATAATACTAATATGTTTTTTTATTATAAAACGTCGACAATTCAATATGACAAGTGAAAATTCATCAACAACAGGAACAAATGAAACAGAAACAAATACAATTGATATATTTCAACCAATTCCATCAAATTTTTTTTTAACAACAACAACAACAACAGCAACAAATACTTATAAAAAATATGAAGATGATGATATTAAACGACCATTTGTATCATCATGTTCATCAACTAATTTAAATAATTTAGGTAAATTTTATTTTTTGAAATTTGTTTTTTGAAATTTTATTTTTTATATTTTATTTAGATACTAGATCTTCTTATGCGAGTTTAAAGGTAAATTTATTTACTGTTTTTCTTTTTACTTTTTTTTTATGTTAAATATTTTCTAGAACAATTGTATTTCTCCATATGATAATGTTCTATTACATCAGTATTATCCAGCCGATATCGATAATAGTCTTGTAACATATCGAAGTTTTAAAGATGGTATTAGTTATACAACAGATATTAATGATTGTATTCGAACTGAACTTGTTTAATTAATTATTCTACAGTGATTAAGAAAGATATGCATTATTGTCTTTTCTTCTTTTTTTCTTTTTATTTTTACATGAATAAATATGGTTTTTTTCTTTTCATTGACAAATTGTCAAATAAATCAAGTATGAATTCAATTGTGACTTTTTTTTTCTTGCTACTCGAGGTAATATTGTCATAATGTGAAGGCGATGGATTCTTGACATTTCTTATCTACCATGGATAACGTCTATTTTTAGTCAGAAACTACCGGAAAACTAATATATTTTTATAGTAACAATTATTAGCTCGAACAATTGCACCTATATGAATATTTTCTTTTGACTATGGATCAATGTGTATTTCTATCGAATCTCGTTTCTTAGTATTTGCCTTGTCTTTGTGAAAATCAATAATGTTTATAGTGTATTAATTATTTATGACCTTTTGCACTGTCAAAAATTATCTTCTTCAACTAGCATTAGTTCTTGTTTTTTTTCGTGGTCATTTTGCCCTTGTTGTTTTTATTATGTTCTCAGCAGTAAACAAAAAGAAAACATAGTCAAAGAATCAAGTCGATTCTATAATAAAACAAATTAGTCTCATCAAAGTTTGCCACAATTTTTCTTTGTATAATATTTACTTTTCGAACTCCAGCAGCTATAATTGTTTTGACAACTTTTGCAGTAAGATCAGAGACATATCGATCTCAATGCGCTGTAGTATTATATATCTTGTGACTTGTGAATATCTCAGTATTCAACTAAGACAATCAAAATTCATCTTATAATCGTTAATGATGCGTCTAAAATATCAATTCGTCGAACAAAGACAAGTGTATGCTTCCAGTTATATGACTGTCAACACTATTATCAACTAGGGCATCTTGATTTTCTAAAAATAGCAAAGAAATTAAAAAATCAGAAATTTACTGTTTTGAGGATTGTACTGAAAAAAGGTTAGAGTGATCGTCAGAGTATATCATTGGAGTGGAACGAATAACCACTGTCATCATAACCGAGAAAATATTAGTACTAGCGGACTAACATTTCTCGTTTTTATCTCTTATATCTGCTATTCTGGTGACGATTTTCAATTATGCGTACAAATAAATTATTGATTTCTGTGTATCTGTTATTTGTCATAGGTTATAGTTGTCAAAAACCAGAAATTTAGTAAAAGTTAGTAACAATTTGAGATTTACCACGATCTCTATACAAAAAAACAATTATATATCAATATGATAAACAAAAAAATGAAATATCTATCTATTGACTGTATGAATTTTCATAAGCGAATTATGTTACAAATGGTTTGATTAAGTATCTCGAAATATGACTTAATTTTATTATTTAATTACTTTTATAAGAACGCAATGTAAAATTCTTTTCTCATTTATTTTTATTTTAAATATATCTAAATATGAACTCTTGATTTAATATCTTAGTTATTACGTATAGAATGAAAAGAAATTAATTACATCTATAATATAGATACGATCTTTGTTAATATCTTGATTTTATTTATGTGCTTGTATTGAAAACAATTGCTGATTATTTATGAAGTTTATTGTATTAACCAATCGTAGTTGATATTATGTGTTTATATCTTATAGAATTTCTTTTGACTAAACAAACATCTGAAATAACATAAAAAGAAATGGCTAGTTTATTTTATCGATGATCGAAAAATTATCTTAATATTCAATTTAACATATTTCAAATAAATAACATGTGTTAATAAATGTAATATGAAATAGAAGAAATTTTCATTTTCATTCTTTTCAAAATAATTATTTGTATAATAAAGTATTATTTTCATACTTTGCTATATATATATATATATAATAAAACCGTCACAAAATAAGCTATTCTAAGAATGAAAGAAAGTTTCATATATTCATATTATCATTAGTCACTTCCGTAATTTAATGCTTAGTTTAATGTTTCTGACAACGGAAAAACAACGATCAATAACTAATATGATTTTCTGCTTTAATGTTTTTTTCTTCTATGTAATCAGTAATTGTGGTAAGAAAGACTGAGACAAAAACATTGATGGATTAATCGTGATCCCGGATTTGCAAGCCTGGAAAATTTTCTACTGACTGAGTCTAAGATCGATCTAATGGGTAATACTGTAAAAGTAGCAGACAATTATAACTTGATTATTATACGATTATCGTCAAGATTGCATGAGAAATGTCGAGGTTGTGTATTAGGAAGAGAATACAAATAATCGATGAAAAGTATCCTGCATCTCTCGAGTGACGAACAGATCCAGGCTAAGAAAATTCACTGTAATTAGAAAGACAGTTCGGATCATAATATATTGCATGTGAAGGATTCTACTGATGATTAATACATTTACTTATTTGTTTTGTATATGATATGAACAAGTGAGAATTGTTCTGATAATGCACTATCAACATCTACAGATCAGATAATCTTTTCTGATTCTAATACATATTTCGATAAGTTTAATCTTGATTAATCAAACTATTTTCAACTATTAGTGATTTAATATATATATATATAACATAGAGATTAATGGATGTAGATGTCAATAATCAAATGTGACATACATATGAAACTTCATTCAAGTCAATGATGTTAAATAAATGTCGAACACTTGAGGGCAACGAGTACTGTCGTATGATCGATAAATTCTTAAAATAGAAAATCGGTCATGAAAGCTTTTTACAGTATCAAACAAATGTTTCTTATTCCGATCTTCATCGATAACTTCAAAAGATAATTTTCTATTGCAATATGGACAAACAGCTGTTAGTTTCTAGTTCGCATAGTACAAGTGAGAACCATATTGACTATGTACATATGATTGAAGAAAGTACTAATCGTATTAAAACTTTGAAATATATTAAAAATTTAGGTTCATCTTTAAAATTCTCATTCTGATGAGTTTCTAATTCTATATGACATGCTTTTACAAAATGTATAAAATATCTCAATTTTATTTTAATAAATAACAAAATAAGTTTACATAAATTGTTAATTTTTTATTATTATAATAAAATCAAGCATTAGTTTTTTTCTACATAGTGCATGTATAACCCTGTTAGAAGCTATCATCTTTCTATTTATATTATTTTTTACTTGTTGCGATTGCTCTAGACAACCACAAGAGATTACTGATAATAGATCAAATAACTTTGAACACATTAACTGTAATGGTTCAATGTTAATTATAACAACAGGTTAGTAAAGAAGAAGAAAAAAAAAAAAAAAGAAACCATCTACTCACAGAAAAATAAACATAGAAACCAAATGCTTGATAAGTTGCCTTGGTCTATTTTGCTCGTTTTTCCAATTATGGGTTTTTATAATTGCATGTGTTATTCTATGTCTTAGACAAAGCAAGATCTGTCAACAATATAACCTTGACTAAAAGTTATGTTCTTTCTTCATACATACATACATGCATACATACATTCTTGTTGACTCTATAGTAAATGTCTAATCTCAATAATATGCATGCATATACACATACTAAGATGAAAAGTTCAGATAGTCAATGAATGAATAATACTCATTTTCTAGTAAATAATAATTGGTTAAAAATCAAACATATTTTTATTCTAAATATGAATAATTATATATACTCATGAGTACTCCTAAGTATCCAGTACTACAGCAATTTGCTTTCATACTGTATGCTTATGTTAATAGTAGACAAATAATAGTCATCGCAGCTGATAGACAAGCCACAAAATGTTAATATTGCGTGCTTAAATCAATACAATGACGCCGAACAAGATAATAAGTTAACATACGACTTCTTTCTTATGTTTTTATTTTTTTTGGAATAGATGACAGTTTCTTTTTCTTTCCCTCTTTCACTGCTTAGTGGCAAGAGGGCAAGAGAGCGAGAAATATATAAAATAGCCTAGAATACTGTTGTCTATTACTGTGGCGGCGATTTTTCTAAGCTTATTTATCATTTATGGATATACGCCGGCTTTGTCTGTCTCTCTTTCTCTTGCTTTTTGTATACGTATCATCCATTAGGTATAAATTATGTCAGAAAAAAAAAAAAGAAGAAGAACGAAAGACCAGATATACTCTTGTAGAAAAGAGATCTTTTCTTTATAATCGAACCATATAATAGCAAAGCATGGCGTTCTATATAATAAAATAGTTCTGACATATTTACTAAACAAAGAAGAAGAAAATTATCAAGTTCAATGAATGAGCGGTGAGAAGAAACGATATCGATGGCGACGTCGTCCACTATTAGTTGAAGAAAGTTTAACAATTAATTCAACATCAACAACTATAACATCAAGAAATCAAGAAGAAAAACATACTGAAAATATTCAATGTAAATGGTATAATAATAATGATGACGATATTCAACTAAAAACTTTATCATCTAATGAAACAATATCAGAAAAAATTGATAGAATTCTTAAAAAAATAAATGCTTGGACAAATGATACATCAATACCAACAAAAAATAATACAACGGACAATACTACGCAACAAAAAATGTCTCTTAATAAAACAACAAATTTATCATCATCATCATCTAGTTATGATAATACTCAACGAAAAACAAATGATATAAAACCAATTTCGACTTCATTATTTAATTCAGTACGTCAACGTTGTTCATCATCAACATATGAAGATCCACCAATGATTAAACTACAAAAATTATCAAATCCTCGACCATATTCAATGGCATTTGTTCATGAACCATTATTAATAAATTCATCATATAATACAAATTCTATTTATGAAAAACCAAATTCAACCGTACAAACATATCATCGACAAAATTCACTTGGTCCTCGTCGATATTCATATCAACGTCGATCAATATGTTCACAAAATACAAATTTAACATCTCTATCATCAACATATGGTTCGGATTTCTTCTATCCATTTACATCTGATCAAGAACAACATGACTATGATAATTTACATTTTATACAAAATTCTTCTCATCAACAGTATGATCCATTTCCAACTGTACTCGTTGACTGTCAACGTTGTAGTCGAAGTGTTGATCGATCATTATTACGTGATATATCATGTCAAGTACCATCCGATGAAGAATCCTCTGAAGATATTCAATTAGAAAATCGTAAAACTACAAGATCTTCTCCTTTATATATATCACCACGATCATCACCACCACTTTGTCATCCACCAATGGCCAATAGTTTGTTAGCTCCCTATCATTTTCGACGAAAACATTCTTTATCATCATATGTTGATATACACAGTCGCTCGAAATCAGTTCCGTCGTCATCATCAACAACATCATCAACATCAAGTCAAAAAATACATTTGACGCCAAGATTTTCTCCTTTGCCAACAACATCCGATTCAAATTCTATGCCATCGACTACGACACTTCTTCGTTCGATTAAAACATCAATCAATGCAATGAAAAAACGTCTAAAAGATATTCGACGTTTGTCGGAGGTTGGTATATCGTTTCATAATGACAATAGCTATATATATATGTATGTATGTATGTATGTTTGTATGTATATGATTAAGAAGCAGAGATAGAGAAAAAAACAATGCAACATCTGTTGCTTAATATTTGCACACCTGCATCATTCATCATCATCATTTTTATTAAATCGTACGACATCGTAAAGAAAAGAAAATCTTTGTCTATAGACAATATTTTACTACCTGTGTGTGCATAGCTTTTTATTTTTAATGTCTACTTTAAATGGGCGTGTTAGTGATGATGAGCGAGAATTTTTTTTTTTCCTCTTTAATATCTATTTTTTTCTTTATGATCATCACATCACATCAGCATAGTAGTAGTAAATGAAGAGATTAAATAGATAGACTGTCAGTCGTTATTATCTCATTTATATGTGAACACATCATATAGTCAGTCTTCATTTGTCGACAAGAAGAGAAAAAAAAACTAGAACAGCACATAGAATCACTATTACTAAGTAAGTATTCTATTAGAATTTCGAAGCTTATCATTTTTCTTTCATCTACTTACTTTCCGAAAGTCTATTCAAAGAAACAATATAGGTATGTAGGTAATTCCGATTAATTTCTGTTTATAGAAATAAATAATTTTCTATTATCACATCGAAAAGAAATCTATCAGTTTTATCAATAGTCAGTTAATCTTATCGATATGTCTTATTATCCATGACTCGAAGGTGACATGAAAATTTTGGAATATTTTATATATCTATCTTATTTTTCATTCTAAATTATTGACTTGCAATAATAAAAAACAATACTCCCACTTGGCAAGTTACAAAATTTTTTAAAAATATAATTAATCTATATATAAACTGCATGCAATGAAAGTCCCTCGTGGAAGAAAAAGACTAGATTAAGAAAGAACTAACTGTTGTTGTTTATTCAAGTAAATGATCTTTGACATAATTACTACTGCTAGTGCTATAACAATCTTTTTTTCATTCATTCATTTTTTTGTTTTGTTTTGTTTTTTTTCATTTCTAATATATATCCATGGAAAAAAAGAAACTAAGCAAATTCATGAATATACTACTAATGTTTTTCTTAGGCGAGAACTGCTTTTAACGAATGATTTTATTCTTTAATTCAGTTTATCGAACAGATCGATTAGCACTCTTCGCATGCACACTTCTCAATTGAATTAGCTATGTGTGCGTGTTTGCGTGTATGTCTTGTTGAAATTCTTCGACGTCTTCGTCACTGTTGTCGTCATTTCTTGTCAAAGAAAAACTGCTTCAACCCATGATTCTCTTGTCTTGATGAACAGCGGCAAAAACAAGATTTTTTGCTTTTTTTTATATAGAAATGTTTTCTTCTTTAGCTTGTGTGTATGTCTCCACCAGGTTTTCCCTTTTCTCTCATCATTCATGGGAAAGTAATGAATGTAACTCTGTCTATGTGCATGAGAGAACAAGAAAGCGAAGAAGAAAAAAAAAAAAAAAAAAAGAAAAGTTGATGACAATAGAAAATGAAAGCACGAGAAAGCAAACGACGATAAAACAGAAAGCAAACAAATAAAAACTCGACATATACACATATACATATAAGCAAAACAACTGAACCATATCTGATTAAAATAACAACGCATGTAGTGGCATAAAAGTGAATTGTAAACAAATATGTTTTTATCATGATGTGTAACTATATAATAGTCATATTGACTTTTATATATTTTGGCATTTGTTTGTTACAATAAATTTTTTTCAAAAAAAAAAAACAAAAAGTCAAAATTAAAGAATTAACTAAGAATAATCGATGTGATTAATATCATGATGTCATTGTTTTGATGATAGGAGTAAGAGTAATCATCATAGTATATATGAGAAAGAAAAAAGAAGGCCGACGACTACCAAAAGCAACATCACTGAGTCTCGTGCGTCGACGACGACGACAACACGCACACCAACACACGCGTTCGCACAAGAGACTGAGAGAGAGCAAGAGAGAAAAGAGAGAAGAGTATTATTTAATAAATAATCGTCGATGCTGATTTCATTTTTTCTTCTTCGCTACACAAGCATTTTGCACCATACGTGACTATCGAGATGGCGTACACTTGACTGGACGGAAAAACAGATAGTACTTCAGTTTTCGTCGCCATCAATTCATTCATCGATACAGAGCTTCCGTCTAGACGACATTCGGTTTATTTATTGTGAAATATATCAGAATTCTTATTTGTTGATATTTGTATTTCGTTTACTATTTTATGGAATTTTGGCGTAAATTGAAACTACGATGGGTAACTACCTAAGTCTTATAAATAACAGTATGAGTTATAGTTGATTGATTGATCGATCGTTCGTTCGTTCGGAGAGAATGATAAAGAAACTCTTACTTTCTTATTTATACTTAAGTTCGTCTTTAAATATCAAATTTTATTTTTTATTCTAGGATTCAAACGTGACAACCGTCTTAGACGATTACACGGCACGCAGTTCACATGAACTAACTGTAAGTAAAGGTCAGCATGTTCGTATCGTTCAAAAACAACTATCTAATGCACCTGATTGGTGTCTTATACGTATATTAAACGATCATCATCAACAACAAAATCAATCGATACCATCTTCACTTGCTGCATCATCAACAACTATTACAAGTGGATCAGCTGATATACCATCAACACCACTTACAAAATATACCGAAGGACTTGTACCAACAGCTATTCTTAAATCAAGTAGATCATCATCAACAAATATTCAATTACCACCACCATTACCTCATCTATTAACTGGTAGTAAAAGTGAACAAGGTAAAAGAAAAATAATATCGATTATTATTATTAGTATTAGTATTCAAGAAACATCCTTATTTATAATAATCGAATTCCGAATAGAAAATGTTCAAGAATCTAACTAGAGAGTATTCCCATTTGGGAGATCAAAATACTGAGAATTTATTTTTTTTTTCTCTCCGAGAAAAAAATGCTTGTGCTTATATAGCTTAAATCAATAATACATATATATAGATAATGATAGTCTGTCATTGTTAAACTTCATTCTAGAAAACTGACATGCTATAAAAAAAAAAAAAAGTCATTTGACATATTTGTCGTGATAAAAATTGTCCTATTCATCTTAAATGATGATAATTGATTGCTACAGTAGAATTATCAAGACAAAGAATTAAGATGAGACAAAAAAAAAAAAAAAAAAAAAATGTTTTTTATTTTAAGTTAATCTCAACACTCGTCTTATTTCTTAGTCATGCACAACATTGAATCAAGTTGAATGTCTTTTTTTCTCTTCATGTTTAATTTGATGGATAATATCATTTTTGAGAATCTGTAAATGATAAATAAAATTGATTATTTGTTAGATTAATAAGATGTGCATCGGATATGACTTGTGAAGGTTCTATTAATAGTAAAATAAATAGAAGTTGTATTCAAATAAATTATTTGTTCTTACTATTAGGTAATATTACTATAGTAGAATATTTCATTGATTGAGAGAAAAATTAAATATAAACATTAAAATAATTTTCTATTTGATTTATAGAATAGTATACAAGACTAATAATTCCTTCTTTTAAGGAAATAAAATGTAGTGTATACTTAAGTACTATCACTTCATAATTCTAATATTACTATAAAATCTAATTCTCAATGTATAAGAGAACTAGATGGAAACAAACTACAAGTACTTTTTATTTTACTTCGAGATAGAAATAAAAAGTAGTTTATTATATAATTGCGTCGTTTGAATTTTCCTCATTAGAATATAAAAATTAGTTTGTTACTTCTCAAGATAAAACGTCTGCAATGCTGTTTGTTTTTCTGTCTAATCCTAATCCCTGATATTGCTGTTTTTTTTTTGTCTTTCTTACTAACTTTTACAATTCTTTGAATAACCTGCTTTAGTTTATATTAGATTCTACTATAATTTAGTGATAAATCTATTAAAAATTAGTATAAAAAAAAAACTATGAACATGTAAAGAAAAAAACAGAGAATTTCCGGAATCAATACTGATATAATCTCTTTTCAGGATATGAATATTTTAAGATTATACTATATTATTTGATTTTTATGTAATAGTTCTACTTCTGAAAATGATGATTAATGGTTCATTACATTCCACTTAATTTGATAAGTTTTAATGAGTAGAAATTAAATATCTATTTGTTAAATGTTTCGTAATATTTTCTAGAAAATTAATTATAATTTTACATATCGATTAAGTTGCCATTAGTAGACTGACTAGTCTATGCATTTTTTCCGCTTCTTCAAATACAGAAGATGCATTTATATGTTAGATTTCATCTATATCTTCCAATCATTTCACTGATTCATTCTATATAAATTTCAATAGGGTTAAGCAAGTCAAGTCAAGTCGAGTCGAGTCATGTTATTTTTGTCATTTTTTTTTTCTCCGTTTTCTGTTTATATTTTCTATAAAGAATGTTAACAATAAGTTTGTCATGACATGATATTCTGATCGTAGTTTTTATGCACGAAAACAAAAATAACAACGATTCTATATAAAATTAAAGGACATAACCAATAAAATCAATTCTTCTCTTTCATAGAGAATTTTACAAGACAATAATAAAACATAAACATCAAACATTTATAAATAAAAAACTTAATTTAAAATTGTTTAACAAACAAACAATGTTTTATTTATACTTCAAAGATATTAAACAATTTGAACTATGCATGATCTTATATTAAAAGATCATTTTAACACAACACATGTTCAATTGATGATGATGTAGTAAAAAATAAAGATGATTTTTCTAGCAAGTTTAATAAGGTCATGAGTTAAATATTCTTCCTGTAGACACAGAACTATTAATTTCTTCGAAAACTAGTTTTCATGCTGATGTATCAATTTTTGTTTTTTATTTTGAATGAATGTTTCGAGTTCAAGTCATGACTCGTACTCGTTCAATGTTGATAATTATACTTTATCAAATGATCAATAACATTTATAAGTTATTCTATTCTATTTTCGAATACTTTCGGGAGTTTGACTTACAACGGAACTTCCTCAGATGTCTCCTTCCGATTACAATAATTTTTGTATTTGTCTATAGATATTACATAGTGTTCTAATAAAAATTCTAACAAAATTTGAACTTGATTAAGTCATATCGAATTTTTTTTTTTTATCTAAGGGTGCCAGATTTGAGAAAACTAATCGAATTGAGTTCTTTATATATGCAAAGTTTTAGATCGAACTTCAAACATATGAATGTTTATTAGAACACTATGTGGTATCTATAAAAACAAAAACAAAATATCATTGAAACCGGAAGGAAAAATCTGAAAAGGATTCTTTGTTTGAAGTACTAGTAATCACAGAAATTACAGTTGTAATCGATAAGGATAAACACCAGGTCAAAATTGGTTCGATGAAGGATTTCTTCTTATCTGTCGTTTTTTATTTGTTTTTTTTTTTTTGCTGACAAAAATTCGTCATTCGACTATTTTATTTATTAAAAATTCATTAGAGTATGCTTAATACATTTTATCCACTGACTTTGATATGTATATTTATATTATTGAAAGAAAATTGAATAATTAATTAACATTGTAAATTAAGTATACAATTAATTACTAACGTTTACATCTGACGAACATTTGATTAGTCCAATAATTTGTAGTTCTATCAAGAAGGTTTTTGTACACGAGTAGAGATCAGGAAAGAGAAAACTTATAGAAATAAATAGCTAAAAGCGCAATAATAATAAAACAAGATTCTGATGTTTTGCTGTAATCATTAAAAAACAGATATAATTCATATTTGTATACGGATCGGTCTGAGCATTTAGATCGATACCGATAAGGAACAAACTCTACGGATTATTTTTTGGTTTGTTTCTGTTTTATTCTTTTATGATACTATACATGTAATTCGTACTAGACTAGAACTAACCAAATTGAATGGATTTCGATGTACTCTGATAATATTGATGCTTCTGTATTAATCCTTTCAGGTCCAATGTCCTGAATAAAGGACACTTTTTTCAAATTCTTTAAATTTTCGATAACTCGCGAACGCAAAAAGATATTGAGATGTGGTTTTTTTCTGTAAACATAGAAGAGACATCGTTGCATACACCTATATAAGAATCGTAATCCTAATGAAGTCACTTAGGTAATAAGTCTGATGGGATTTTGGACCACCAACTCCATTATACAAAGGAGAAGGTCGGATAATATTCTTTTTGCAGTTATCAAAATACTTCAGTTACCCGCGTTGAAATCAAGTTAGGAGTAACTTCTAGTGATATTCCAAAGGTTTATTTTGTGATAACTCTCAATTGATTTTCTCCCATAACTGTACTCCCCCACAGGAATGTTCAAAATAGATCTTCATTAGCACCGTGAGGCGGAGTGCGGGCATGGGTCGAAAAACGACTTTAAAGATTTTTATAAAGTTTTGATGAAAATATCCACAATACACGTTGCCCATACTAAATACAAAGTCACAAAGATATTTCATCCATTGGCTGAGTCATGAGTCTGAAAGGGTTAACCACAGAGTCCAAACTAGTCTCCGTTCTGAGATAAACTATTTACTATAAATGGCGCTACAAAACTTATTATTATTAAAATCTAAATTCTTTTTAATAATAAATTCGACTTTGTGTAAAAAATATTCTATGCAATAGTCTATGGATTGGAATCGACAATCATGAGTACTACTTGTGGTATTGAGAATAAATGTGTGACATGGGTATACAACATAACATATAATTTTCTACATAATGAAACGATAAGATACTTATATGAATATTTTGCATTATAATAATCTTGATCATCTGTATTATTAATATTACATAATCAAAATTTTCTATTGAATTTAGATGGTATTGCGGACAATATAGACGAATCTCAACAACGAAATTTTTCATTGACATTTCAATTTAGTAAACGAAAATCTAGTTTGAGGTAAATATATTCTATTATATAATTCTTTTGTAATTTTATTTTATTTTTTTGTGTTTTGTTCTTAATTATAGGCGAATTCTTAGAAATCCTGTTCGACGTCTTAGTTTAAAAGATAATAGTACTAGTAAAGATGTTAAAACAGCAGATTCACAAGATTTAATAGCAACTTCTACAACGACTATATCAACAAATAGTGGTAATGATATATCCGTTAATAAAAGACAACCATTATCTTCTAACTCTTCAGGATCAAGAAAGGTCAAGGTATATGAAATATAATTGATTTCCTGATAATTTAACTTCGTTTTCTTTTTCAAAAGGCATTCACATTTATAAATACAGACGATAATATGACATCATTTCCTGATAATATGGTATGGTATTCATTTGTTTCGATACCTTGATCAAACTTGAAATTATTATTAATATTTAATCCTAAAAGAAAAAAAATATAATATTATATAGATTTCACTAAGGACTATTCAAACAAAAAAAAAAAGGAAAGTTCTACGTCGATTAGTGCATATAGTAAAAGTTATGATATTAACTTTCACTAGTGTTAAAATAGTACTCTCCTTTTCTTTCTTTTTTTTGCTTCTATCTATTATGTAATTCTTTACTCATAAGTGTTTATATATATGAACGTAGTACGAGAGCAAAAATAGAATAATATAATCATATAGTTATGTGTATATCTATTACGTCGTCGTTATCATCGTGTTCTTCCGTATGGCTACGAGCTACCGTCCTCATCATATCGATAAGCATATGTGTAGTTCGTCATCACTTTCATTTTCAATGATCATTTATATACATTGAATATAAGTTGAAAGATAAAAAGAGAGAGAGAAAGAGAAAGAGAAAGAGAAAGAGAGTGAGAGGGAAAAAAATGCCTGGGCTTTCATGGACGAAAAAATATAAATTATTATCATCATTGTCGAAGAAACAAAATATTCATGAGAATGTAAGTTTTTCTTTTTTTTGTTTTTATTTTTCTGTTCTACTTTGATATGAAACATATACTTATTGACTGATCAAAGTACAAAAATGAGAATAGATTCAAAATATTTGTTCTAGTCTTATGCTTAATCTGTATAAAAAATATATTCTAATTTGATTTTCTTTTTCTTTTCTTTGTATAGAATTCTATCAATAAATCAATTGGCAATGGTGATGTAAATGATATTTATAAAATGACTGAATCATCTTCTTCACCATCAAATGTTATGACAATTATTTCCCCAAGGAATAATTTAGAAAACGATATAATCGAAATACCATCATCATTCGATATGCAATCCCAGCATACATCATCAACCGATACAAATATCGATTTTTCACCAGCTGTAAGTAATCCTTTCTTTTTTTTTTTTTCGTTTTCTCATATGAAGATCAGGTGACGCCAAAAAAAACATAGTAACGTGCAGAATTGAAGCTATATTAGTAGTAGTAACAACAAGAGCAGTTGGCCTTTTACTGTTTCTCATTCTTTTCCTACTTATATGTATAATGTAGTGCTAAGCAATACAAGCGTTATCTCGACACATCCATTATACACTTATGTAAAGAAGGCAACAGCAGGATAGTGTCGTTAATAAGAAGAAAAAAGCCAGAGAGTAAAAAAAAAAACGAAGGAATTCTTCTGATATATATATATATATATGTTTCTATGTCATCAATGTTCAAACATAAACACATATTTATTTTTGGCTTCATTAATCATAGTTTTCGTTAAGACTATAGATAAAGACACAATTGCTTATATCAAGTTGAATAATAACAACACATATTGGTTCAGTGTGTGAACGAGAATTTCTCTCGTCATCTAATTGCATTGCTTGTTCCTGATACTTCATCAATTGGAACAAGCGGGCGCGCGCGCGCGCACGAGCGAACATCTATGTATATACACTGGCATATATAGAAGAATGTTTAGGCAAAAAGTAGTAGAAAACGACAGCGGAGCGTTCGTTGCTGAATAATCGCAGTAATAATATTAGACGGTCGTGCGAGGCCAAACAAGAACGGAACCAGTCGATAGTGCCTGGGTTTTTTTTCTCTTCTTTCTTTTCTTCAATTTTTTTTTTGTGTTTCTCGCTTCTTTTTTTTTTACTGCCTTGTGTCTACTGTCGACGTCTTTTGTGACATTTTCGTTTAATGGAAAGACAACGACGATAGTTGTGCTAATGCCAACAGCATTATCAATAATACAGCGTGCACTTTATTTTTAAGCATCTTCATTTGAACAGGCAAAAAAAGCCATTAAATAGTAATAGTATTTAGAACGGAGATCAATACAGTTGTTAGAAAATTGGTCAATACACTTGCACTGGAGTCATCCAGAGGCAATAGGGGTGACCTTTCATCACGTTTACGCAAAACGCGTGTACCTCCATTAACATCGATTAGTCCTCTTGAAGATAATTCTGTTATTGCTCGACTTGTTCAGCATGTTGTAAGCATTATTATGAAAATATAAAATAAAATAAAATTTTATATTTATTTTATTTTATTGTTCTAAATTTTGTTTTGTTTAGGCACCGATTAATATTGTTTCTGGACTTTCAGCAAGTGATTTTCAAATCCCAGCTGCTTTGTCAGTAACAACACCAGCTACTGATGATACTTCATTGGATAGTTTACCATCATCAACAATAACTGTGATTCCAAATGATAGTCAAAGTGAACAAACAGATGAAATATCTTTAAATGATACTGATCAAACAACATTATCATCTTTAACAACAACTGATGAACCTGTTGATGCTCGAACTAAATATGGTGCAAAAAGAAGGTAGATAAAATCATGTTTTTTTTTTTCTTTAGTAATTATATAGAAATCATTTTATTATTATTTTTAGACATAATATTATTGAATTAATTGAAACAGAAAAAGAATATGTAAAAGATTTAGCATTAATTGTTGAGGTAAAATAGAATAACAAAAAAAAAAAAAAAAAAAATTTATTTGTCTAATAATTTAATATTTATTTCTTAGGGTTATATGAATGTTATTGAAAATGATAAAGATCTTAAAAAACCAACGGGTCTTGGAGGCCGTGAACGTGTTGTTTTTGGTAATGTACAAAGAATATATGAATTTCATCGAGAGTAAATTTAAATAATATTTTTTTTTTGATTTTCTTTTTCTTTGTTTTGTTTTAAGTACTTTTTTACCACAACTTGAACAATGCATCGAAAATCCCAATACACTTGGTCGATTATTTACTGTATGAATAGAAGAAAAAAAATAAAACCAATTTTTCTTTTTCTTTTATTTTCTCTAAAACTAATTTTTGTTTTTTTGTTATAGACAAATCGATTTAGTCCTTATGTAAGATATTGTGAAAATAAGCCACGATCGGAATATATTGTTTCTGAATATCATGATTATTTTGAAGTAAGTTTTTTTCTTTCTTATTTTTTTATTCTATTGGTAACATGCATACTGAGATCTAAAACATAACTACAAACATTCCCTAGAGACAATTGAAGAGCATCTGGTAACAGAAAAAAAAAAAAAACGAGACAAAGATATACACAATTAGTAATTACAAATGGCTATTTGTATTAGAACAAAAAAAAAAAAAAAAAAAACGAATAATAATATAAGAATAAAAGTCATGATCTTTTCAATTATAAAGAATTTCCACTCGAGACAGAAAAACAATTTTCATAAGAGTAATTATTCTCTTAAAAACTACGAGGTTTTTCTTTTTCCGGAAAAATTTACGATCTAGAATCAATAGAAATAAGCACGAACAGTCTCAATCTAGGTGTCATTTAGTCAATGACTATAATTATTATTAGCCGGAAGAAAAAAAAACACATATGACTATAGTCATTCGAATTATATTTTATACAAAAATAATCGAAAAAAAAGGTAAACAGTAGGTTTCTTTGATTTATATAGAAGAAGAAAAAAAAAACAAAGTGTGCATCTTGACTTAAGAACTATTTTCTTCTATGAGGATATATTTATTTAATAAGAACAACAAAATATTTACGATCTTCGAATACCTAGAGTGCAGAAATTAGTATAATCATATGCACATGCGATATTTAAAGTTGTTTTGATGATAAATAAATAAAAGATATTTTCACAGAGAAATAACTATTTTCTAAAGAATCGTTATCATAGTTAAGAACAGAACTAATTAAAGAAATCCTATCTATCGTTTTATCATCGTGCTTTTCCAGGGATTGCCTGAGGTCTCTAAGATTGAAAGAAGAAAAAAGTCTAGAATTTTAGAGTACAGATGTGTACAACTGATTTTTAGTCTCGGTATAGGTCACCAGGACCATGACTATAAGGAAAACAGTTGTTCCAACTAGAACTCAAGATTATAATTAAGTAATTTAGAGTTTTAAATAAATCATCTTATTAATCATAGAAATCCGAACATATTCAAGAGATTTGACCTCCAAAATGTCAATCATCTACTAAAAAAAAAAAAAACTAGAAATTTTAAATTTTACTATTTATTTAGGATATTCGTAAAAAACTTGGACAAAAATTACTTGTATCTGATTTATTAATAAAACCTGTTCAACGAATAATGCGTTATCAATTATTATTAAAAGAAATTCTTAAATCAACTGAACGTATGGGTGATGAATCACGTGCTATACGTAGTGCTTTACAAGTGATGATTGAAGTACCACAACAAGCTAATGATATGATGAATGTTGGTAGAATAAAAGATTTACCAACAAATGTACATCAATTAGGTGAACTTAAATTACAAGATATGTTATCTGTTAGTGATCCAATATCATCAAAAGAATCAAAAGATATTGAAAAAAAATTTAAAGAACGACGAGTATTTTTATTTCAACAATCAATGATATTTTGTGATGAAATACCAGCTAAAGATAAATATTCAAGTCCAAATTATATTTATAAATATGAACTTAAAGTAATAACACAAAGCAAAAACAAAAAAAAAGAATGTTGTTTTTTCTTCTTCTTTAGATTAATAAATTACAACATAAAGAATTTAAACGTAATAAAGAATTATTTCAATTTACATTAGTTGAACTTGATGCCGGAAATACACGTCGTGTTATTTGTCAATGTAAAGATGATGAACAATATGAATTATGGGTCACTAATGTAAACAAGGTGCTTCAACGTCAGATGGATCTTATCATAGGTATATCATATTATCAGAAAATCAATTAATTAAAAGATTCTATTAATTTAAATGTAGCAATAGCTTTTAAGTTCTCAACTTCTATATAGTAGCAGAGTCCTTCGAAAAAATTTTAACAATGATTCCTATAGGAATTCTAAGGGAGATTCAATCTTGAGCCTACTGAATTTGTCCCGGACCTAACCGGTTCTAATTCAATCTCTCATCTCTATATGTTCACCTACATGTATAAAATTCTTTATTAGAAATCTGCCTGAAGTCATTTCTTATTTATGATCACGAATGTGATCTTTGTAATTATAGCCGCGAGTGATGAAAATTCGATTAGGATAATATATATATAAGAACTTAACTAAGTATACTATTTGTATGCAATAGTACTTTTGATTTATGTCAATAAAGTTTTTTCATTACTTGACGAACAAAAAATGAAATATTTTAATTCAATAAAGAACAAATTAAATTATGTTATTTTCGTAAATTCAAAGATCAAATTATTAAATGTAATAACTAAATTTAGTTATTCTTGATGATTGATTATTTTTTGAGATTAGTAACTGATAAGATTTTTTTATGAATCTTATCGAATGTTTTCTTACTGTTGATCGTACTCGACTCAAGTAACTTACTGTTGAAGTAGTTAATTTAATTATAACAAGATTTTTCTAAGATGAATATGAATTGATTCTTCATACACATTATATCAAGCAACAGAAGAAGTACTATTAAAGACGAGTATCATCCTCGGATAAGAATTAGGAAATAAAAAAAACTAAGTTACATAGCTATATTACAAATTTTGTCTCATAAATTTTAGTCGCGTTTTTTTCACGATGATGAAATTATGTTTTTTAAATTCAATTCAAGAAAAAAAGTTTATATATGTATATAAATGACATGAAATCTTTCATGATAAAGCTGTTCTTGCATTTTGTTTTTTTTTTGCAGTCATCCACGTCATTTTTCTAAAGCTTGGGAATTCTTCTAGATGATAAATAGCATAATAATCAAAATAAATCATAGAGGCGAATAGAATGTTTACAAACATAAGTCTTTTGATGGAACAATATGTGAAGATTCATACTAATAAAATATGAGTTCTTTTCAAAATTGTTATCAATTTGTCTTAATTGAGATGGGCTGAGAAAAATGTTCGTCGAAATTTTTTTGGGCAATTGATCACAATTGTTTGGTCGACCTCTAATTCTTATCTGTGGTTTTGAAGACATGTCAATGTTTAGATAAACATTATCTGTATCTTCAAGTATTACTGTCAAGATCTATGAATACATAATTCTGCATCAATAGCAGATTTAGTGGAGACCGTTCTTCTCATTAGAAATATTTTTCTCAGCAGAAAAAAAAAAAGTCAACCGATACAATCTGTAATGGACTTCAAAAAATATATTTTTATTAACATGATCAATCTTTGTCACTGTCCTAATTTCAATAGCAATTGTACAATGTGGGATGTTCTAAGGATACCAATAGATCGATGAAAAGGTTCTTATTAGAAAGAAAACGTCTGTCTAACAGTCAAGTGCATATGCTATCGGACGGGTAATCCGAGACAAACAGTCGTTAGTGATTTGCTCAGGGTCATTTCATGACTGCTGATAATACCGAAGTTTGAGCACATTGTTTATCGGATATGTGCCAAACGATATAACCACTCAGGCATGAAAACAAATTCTTATTATCATTGAAAATGTAAATCGATTATCATTAAGATATTTTCGAAAGAAAAAAAAAATTATGTTTTTTATTTAGCTCTAACTAATCCAACAGCTGCTCTACAAAAAGAGTAAGTACATAAATAATATATATATATATAAATATGATTATTATTTTTTTCTCTTCTAATTTTTCATATAGTCCTCGTTCTAAATAAAATAAAAGATGCATATAAAACAGACAAAAGAGAGAAAGAAAAAAAACTATATATTTATATTGAGTAAGAACAATTAAATGAAACCTTTCTTCGTCTCTGTATGCATTATTATTATTATTTTTATTATCCCGAGCTTTTTTTTATTATCTGTTTCGCATGTATTTATTTCCAATCCCTTTGCCTGTTTGATATATATATATATATTTGCCTCTTTGTGTGTAATGTTATATGTATCTACATAAATCATAGGTTATTAACATGGGAAATACCTGAATGGAGACAAGCAGGTCGTCGACATTTTACGACTGGTGATTCGGACGTTATTATTTCATCGCAGTCAAATATTTAAAATTGATAAAAAAAAAAAAGCAAGAAAAAAAAAACATACGAGCTTTTGATTGTTTTTTTTTTATTATTATTATAAAAATAAGCTTTGACACATGCTGCTCTAAATCTAATACTCACAACAATCTTCTTATTATTGTTTTATTCTTGTATAATTGAAATATTTTTTTTGTTTCGCTCTTTTAGGCAAGATTCGTCCATGTTATTGTTTACACCTTCATATCGAAATCAAATTAAAAAATCTATGTCTAATCAAATGGATAAATCATCTACATCATCAAAATATTCTAATGCATCAAATTTAAATAGAACAACGGAAACTACAAATAAAAGATCATCATTATCATTTTATTTATTTGATTCGATTTTTTCAAATTCAGTAACAAAACCTTTGACAACAAAAACAAAATATGAACAATCATCTACACGTTCTTTTTCATCATCATATCCACAATCATCTTTAATATCAAATATTCAATTATCTGAACAAAATTGTTCTTCATATAATAATTATAATGTAGTAAAAGAAGATGAATATGTTCAATTATTGAATACGAAACAAGATAATCATTAATTTGTATGGCGTTATATGGTAATCAAATAATATCAGTTGTTAAAGGTTGGTTGCTGGATTTTGTATATGGATTTAAATATTCAAATTCAAAAATTAATAATAATTATCTATCTCCATCATCATTACCAATTTTTATCTTTATCTTCCAATGGTTTTAATCATTTAATAATGGTGATGAAGAAAAATTATGCTCTCTACTTTTGTATGCATGTGTGTATACATAACGAGGATACGAATCTCTATTTTGAGCAGCAATCAAATATATTCTCTATATTTTGTGTTCTTTTTTTTTTCTCTGTGTGTATTTTTCTCAATTTGCATAAAAAAAAAAGAAAAGATGTATGTGTATGTCATTTTTGTGTGGTTGTCTTTTTTCTAATCGTTCCGTGTTCTATATAGCAGCTCATACAAATATGTTGTTTTATTTCTCTGTTATTTTTCTTCCGATTAAATTTTAATGATGATGATGATGATGAATTAAAATATTAAATTGAATGAAAAACAATACTTTTAATACGAGCGAATTGATCTCAAGAAAAAAAAAATATATACATAAAAAAGAAAATGACCTTGATCGTATATAAGATATCCAGGGAGAAAGAATATATATCTTTCTATGATGTATTCGTTTTAATTTTTATTTTTATCGTTCTTCATTTTGATGTTTACATATATAAATTTCGTTAAAAGTCGATATATACATATATATACTTTTGTTAGTAGTGCCACATCACCATCTTATCGGCCTAGATTGCATGTTTCATCGTATGATTAAATCGTCTTTTTTCTATTATTTATTGATGTCTAAGAAATGATGTTATCAATAAGTCATATGTTTGAGCATATACCAACAGCTGTATATCTGAAGATATTTTTTACGATTTTTCTTTGTTAATACTTTACGAAGATCGATCTTTTTTTTTTAAAATCTTACTTCTCTTTAATATTGTAGATTAACAATGTTTGGCCTTGTTATTCTATTTTTTATTACTATTCATTGTGTTTATTCACAAACTGAACTTACATTACCAACATTACCATATGCATATAATGCACTTGAACCAATTTTTTCAGAACATTTAATGCGATTACATTATGATAAACACTTTCAAACCTATACAAATAAAAGTAATATTGTTCTTAAGACAATGTTTACTGATACACAAAGTGATAATAAATTAAAAGAAATAGTTAAACAACCAATAGAAGTTATTTTAACACAATTACAAAATATACCATATCAATATCAATTAGCTTTAAGATATAATGGTGGTGGTTATTTTAATCATAAACTTTTCTTTTCAATGTTAAAAAAACCAACAGTAATAGGTAATGAAAATAAGCCAATGGGTCCATTACTTCAAGCTATTGAAAAAAGTTTTGGTTCATTTGACAAATTCAAAGAATTATTTAGTAATATATCAAATGAATTTTTTGGTTCGGGTTGGATTTGGCTTTATATTGATGCACAAACAAAACATCTTGTTCTTAATTATACAGTTAATCAAGATAATCCGTAAGCAATAAAAACAAAAACAACAAATTAACTTATATTAAATAATCATTTTTATTTTTTGTTTTTTTATAGAATTATGTATGATAAAAATCATATTATTCTTTTATGTATTGATCTATGGGAACATGGTTAGTGTAGAAATTTTAATCAACAATATTCATAATATAATATTGTATTTTTAGCTTATTATCCTGTTTATGAAAACCGTCGTAATGAATATGTTGAAAATTTCTGGCGTCTTGTTAATTGGCCTTTTGTTAGTCAATTGTATATTGAAGGTCAAACTAACCGAAGTGATCTTTAACATGGCATATATTTCTAATCATAGGAAATATTTAATGCTCATCAGTGATATTAAGTTTTTCTATTTTAGATATATTTGTTATTTAGATCTTTTCAAAAAGAAATAAAAATAAAAAGATAAAAACTTATGTTTTATTTATTCGAATTGTCTATTGTCGAAATAACTTCTGTGTTACATCAATGCCAAAAATAAAAGGCTGGTCCATGTTTTTTCAGTCACTCTTGATAGGAACATTATAGGGACCTAGAATTTTCACCAAATCAATTCCTAGTATGTTCTATGCAAGAGTTATAAGACTTTGTTTTTTTTTTTTTTTGTTGAGATTATCGATTTCAATCAATTAACCGTAAAATGTGCTATACAGGGTAACTAGCGTTCATTTAATATTACATTATCGAATTTTAACTCAAAGTTCTATTTGATTAACTTTTTAATGTTGGAAAAATTAAAGCTGTCTTTATTTATTCTATCAAGAAAAAATTCTAACTGAATATTAATCTGTAATCTTATAAGACAAAGTTCCCAACTAATTTATGTTGTTTTCAATGATATTTGTCCACATATTCACCTAGCGCGTAAAGTATATACAGAAAAATCGAACAATAGAATTTTAATGTGAAATTTTATTTATAAATATTTCTCGTGATCATTGGAACACTCGAAGTGTTTCAATGAAAAGAAAAAAAAACGATGTTTTCTTATTATATACTGTTGAATTGTTGAAAAAAAGTTAATCTTTCTGAACTTTCTAGATTATGAGACAAATTTCAGATTGAAATTCTATTGTTCGATTTTTCTCTACATTAAGTAGAAAAAGTAATTAAATGGTCATAACCTTCGAAGAAAGCTCAAACCTTCTTAGAGTAATATTCTTAACAGATGGATAAAATATCATTAAAAATAGTATGGATCACTTGGGGGTCTTTCCTTGTTAGTACATCTGTTGTTACTATTTCATTAACTAAAGTCATATATTATAATGTATATGACAAAGTAAATGAAATCAATCAATTTCACTTAGATATTTTTCACCTGTACAACAGTTGATATTTTTTATATTCATTATTGTCGAAACTTTTTTTCGAACATATAAACAAATATTTATTTTTTAGTTATATGGTTAAATTCAGTAGCAAACAAAAAAAAAAAAAAAAAAACTATCATTAGATATATTTGATGAAAGACGTTGATGATTATATATGACAAATTTTTTAGAATATAAATGATGTTCATTAACAGATATTTGTCGATGATGATAGGTATTGATAAATGGATTGGAATTAAATTATACTTGACGAGAAATAATCATTTATCTTTGCTATAATGATACTGTTGAAATATCTTGTGCATATAGTCAATTATTCATTCCAGACATTATTATCTGTCTTGCATCATAATTATCGAGAAATACTATGATATTTGATGTCTGCATAAAAATCAAAATCATAATCGAACCAATTGATAGTTTATGATGAATGGAAATTTTCAAGTGTTGATCCAGCAAATGTACTGATAAAGTACTGCATAATTGAGTCATTAGTACGAATATTATCTTGTACTGACAGTACTTAAATCCATGAAGAAAATTTTTTGATGTAGTACTATCTGTGGATATTCGATCAAATTTGAAAGTTATGTAAAATATACAAAAAAAAAAAACAAATATTTATTTCCGAAATCTATACATTTTATTTTCTTACTAATATTAATGTATATGAAAGAATCATTAATTCAATCAAGACTATATGTTGTTCTTTCTATCACCGTTTTTGCCATGTAAAGAATGTCAAGGATATGATGCAAAAAAAAAACCAAAGAGAACATATATTACCAATAAAGAACGATATATGAGGTCTTTAATTGAAAAATAAATTGTTTATTTATTTATACTAAGAAAATAATAAGAAACAAATTTGTACAGTTTTGATTAACAAAAATCTTTATTATTGAAAATAAGTTATTTAGAAAATGATCAATATTAATATTTGCAATGAAACAATTCAACGAAAAAAGTATAATTCCAATAAATAAAGCTTTTGAATCTAGTGACTCATCATCAATAATAACGTATATAATATAGAATAGTATGCCTATGTTGATTGCTATTCGATTGAGATTATTCTAGGACATTGATGATAAATAATCAATTTTGTTATTGATAATGAGTTCGGTGAACTCGAAAGAATTTAATTATCGAATATCTCACTTAAAACTTTAATTAAATGTGAAAAAATGTTTTTTTCAATAAAACTTATTGAAAAATCTTTACTTTGTCAGTGAAAATTTATTTTTTACTATATCTTTTATAATGAATTTAGTTTTTCTCAGTAATTCAACGAATATTGTTCTCGTTTGTCTGACAATGTCGATAATAAACAAGAAAAATCTTCTCATAAATAGTCAAGGCATGCTGATTATAGGGAATTACCACCTTTACTTTGATCTGATTTTCATAAGAACTACGGGCAATTTATCATTCAATTTAACAGTGTATTCATATGGACATGACAAATTGATATGCACAAGGTTCAATTTTAAGACTAAATTATTCTTAAAATTTCTAAGAAAAAATTATTCTAATTAAAAGAATAATATCCAATAAAACTTTGCTATTTTCATTTTACTTCTATAAAAATTTTAAAAAAGTATGATATATGTTAGTGCTGTACTAGGTGATTTATTTTCTCGAAGGAATTATCATCAGAATATCATTGAGAGATGTGAAATGATTCATCGGTGTTAATTAATTTACTGTTTGATGAAATGAGTGAACTTATATTTTACTGATGATCAGAAATGGCTGAGTCTGAGGTGGCTGAAGAGGATCAGCCTCCATCAGAATTTTTTACTATAGATAGAGCTCATCAAGCTCTATATACCTGTAATAATCAACTTCCCATTCTCAAACCCAACACTAGCCTTTTAATGATCAGTTCTCCTTTTTACCTATTCCAATTATGACTGTCTAAGAACAGTATACATGGATTTCAAAATAAAAGTCCATAATTTTTTACTATTTCATACAGCATCATATACTTAGTATCGCCTGAAAATCCGGAATCCTATACGATCTATCACAAGTTTTCTCTCCATGAATTGAGACAAATCGATGCCTAAGTCTTGGCTATGCTGCTTGACATTTGCATCGAGAGCCGATAAATGGGCCTCATTTGCCTTTAAACATACCACATTTCTTTCTATGATGAAAAAATACATTTGAAGAAGTTCGTGGAGGCCGCCATGCAGAATATTTCTGAAAACGAAAATCATTGCCTATTATTTCTTGTCACAGTAGCACGGATAAGCTTGATACCTACCACAAAAAAGGATGACAATTGATATGCTGAGTTTTCGTATCTCTGAAGCAGTAAATTGAATCGACACAAGTCAATATTGTAAGTTATGTGTTTGTGAACGTGAGTTCTATGTATATAATAGCACTGTTAATTCCTCTTTGCTTCGATCTCCCTATTATATTCTTCAAAAAAAGGAAAAGAACATGTATTCTCCTTTAGAAACAAAACACAACACAGTTGATGTTCTTCTCTTTCAAGGCATACCATCTCTCATATATAATCACATTCCAACGAGATTTCTTTTCTTCCTAGACAGCGATATATTGAAAGAAAATAGAAGCGGAGAAATTCGGAAAAAAAATAAACAGCGTAGTATGTGTCAGATCAAAAAAGATAGAACAATATTATGCATCAAAAGAAATAAGGAATAAAACAGTATAGTTAAATATGCGTCATGATCGATGGTCATGACAGACACAAACTACATACAGGAAATTATGACTAAGTAGCCAACTTGCATTAGTCACATGTCAATCAATATGGTAGTGAGGTTTCAATAGAATGCGTGTAATTATGTGATGATGCCATTTAACTAACATTATATGGGTCATTTTCTATGTAGGCAGTTTCATTAATATTTATTCGAAATTAGACAATTAGTCGAAGAATATATTGCCTTTCAGTAGAAAATATTAAGTTTTTAATTCCAAAACCAACGAAAAAGTTAGCTAAGAAAAATGAACGAACTAATTATTATTTAAAAAAAAAACTCATTAGTATTTTGAATATTTTGGTTCTTGTGTTTGAGGTATTGAGCTAGAAATTTCAGGCAATAGTCAGTATATGATGATGTATGAAATAATAAACAAATCAGTAAATTATGGACTGTTTTTTTCAAATCGATATATGCTGCTCTTAAACAGTTATACTTGAGGATAGCTAAAAAAGAGAACTGATCATTAAAATGCCTGTTTTTAGTTGAGCTGAAAATTTTAAAAAGTACATAACTCATCACTCTCAACAAAATATCAAAGAATCAGTCAATTCTCAGATATAATTTCATTGTCGATGTCGTAAGTGACTGATTTTCTCAGATCTTCACTCTTAAATTGTCTAAATTTACCAAGAAATTCTTCTTCAACTTGAAAATGAAGAACATTTTTTTTTAATTATGCAAATCTAGCTACTGCATTATTATCTCTATTGGTTTTTTTCTTTTGACAACAATATCTAATAATTCTTTGAATTTTTATTTTCATTGTTTACTAAAAAATCGATTTAATTCAACGATTTTCTATTTTTATCTCTTCGCTCAAAAGTTTGATCTTCTACTAGAACATTTTCAGGTAGATGACTTAAATTAACTTGCATTCCTTTATTTTTAGTTGAATTCTTCATTTACATGAATATCACTTGTTCTTCCACCTTTATTAGTTGTAATTCAAATATTGTCTGTTGCTTCAACATTTTCATAAATAATTACAACAGACTTTGTTTTTTCTTGTTTAGCGGTTTCTATAGCAATTAAATCAAGTTAATCATCATACCTATCATCACGAAGCAGGAATAATTAAAAATCATATGCAATTCAAAATACTAATATGAGATGTGTGACCAATGAATGATCATGCACCAATGTTATCCATAAAATCAATGAACAAGAAGAGAAGAGAAAACTTGTTACCACAATTCCCTAGTAACTGA